TGATTCTTTAGAAAAGATAAGTAAATAAATTTAATAATACATGTTTCCAATCTAAAAGGAAAAAAAAGAATTATAAGAAAATTTAAATTAATTGAATTATTTTGAAGATATCAAATAATTATCAGAATTATATTCAATAGATTAATAAAAATCAATTAAATTAATAGAAGATAATATATTTATAGATGAATTAATAAGATAATTTGAATTATTATTTAATAATGCTGAATATTATTAAACTTTAGACATATTCAAAAATACAAAATAAACAATTTAAGATATAATGGAAAATAATATTATTGAATTGCCACCATTATTATTAACAAAAATGATTTTGTAAATAATAAATTAAAATAGAAAACACCAAGTTTAAGTAGAATTTGTTTAAATCATAAAAAAGAAATAATAATGATTGATATGGATACTGAAAATAAGAAAATTGAAGATAGATTAGTTTGTGTTGATTGTATATCTGAGAATCCATTAATTAAACAATAAATAAATTATGGATTGATTATAATTCATAATCAGAAAATATATTATAAGAATATAAAAAGGAAATTAAGCATAGAAAGAATGAATTATTCAAAAAAATATCTTAAATCAGAAAAAATTATAATTTAAAATTGAATGAAATTAGTGATAAATTAATTTAAGAATAATTTTAATCAATTTCAAAACCTAAACAATCTAATTAAATTAAAACTATTTCAATATAAACTTTATAAGATGAATAATTATTAAAAGATTTAAAATAATTAGTAGAAAAAGAAAAAGTGAATTCAAATTAAACTATAACAACTTTAAAAAATAAAGATTCAATTTTTTAAAAAGAAATTGAAAATCATTTAGAATCATTAAAATAATATGATTAATTAGACATTTAATAATCAATAGATATACTTAAAGAAATACCAAGTATTAATTTATATATATATAAATTTTTATAGTTGAAAGAAATGAAATTGTATAATTATAAGAAGTAATCTCTTAAATATCTAAGATTCCATCTACAAATGATAATAATTATTAAGATTAAGTAGAATTTATTAAGAATATTTAAGAATTCATTGATTAAGCTAAAAAATATTAATGTTAAATAAATTTATTTGATTAGACTATAACATTATTTTAATAACATACTAATAATATAGATTAAATATAATCAAAAATTTAAAATTAATTTTAAATAAATAAGAATAAATACAATTTTAATATTAGAATCTATCAAAATTATTAAATGATTATCTTATAACATTTGATAATAAAACTAAATAAATTAAGAAATATTGTAATATTTCTAAATTAGAGATGGATTTAATAAAATTAAATGAATTAAATTAAAATTTAGAATTTGAAAGTAATTTAATTAAATTAATTAATAGAAACAAATATATAAAATCAAATATCAAAATAATTAGATGAAAAACATCATTAATCTTAATAATTATTAAAAGAATAATAAGATAAATGTATTTTCATATATATATTATTTTATAGATTAAAAATAAATTGATGATATTAATATAAAATTACAATCAAATGAAAAATTAAATTTAAATTTAAAAGATTAATTTGATTTAAAAATTTAAGAAATAATCAATCTAAAAAATTAAAATGAACAAGATAAATTAAATATTATTAAAACTATTGAAGATTAAATTATTCAATATTATTATTATATATAGAAAATAAAGAAATTACAGAAATTAATAAAAGTTTAAATTAAAAGGAATCAGAATTATAAACAATCTAAAAACAATTTGATCAAATTAATCAAGAAAAGTTATAAAAAGAAAAATAATTAAAATTAGACTTAGAGAAAGTATAATATAATTATAATGCTTTATTAATATAACAATATCAAAAAACATTATAATTTAGCGTTACTTATAAGGGTGTAAATTGTTCAGTAACTGAAGGTGGAAAAGTTATTGAGTGTCATTGTAGTAATATTTACTAGTATTGTCTTTGTGAATAAGCAATTCCAAAGACTGGAAAAATATTGTTTGCATTCTAAATTCTCAGTTTAAAACCAGATATGTTTATTGGAATTGGATTTAGAGATATTATATAAAAAAATAATTATTAAAATGTAGGAGTTGGGTATGAGTATAGGTATTAAATTATAATAGATCATATATGATACATTAAAACGGTTATACATTCTCACATCATAATAAAGATATAACTAATAAATAATTATCATTTACATTTACAACTAATGATATAATCATAATGGAAGTAAGTATTGAACATAAGTATATTAAATGGACCAGATAAAATAATCCATTAGCAACAGTTGTAACTATCAAATCTATTATTAGTAAATGGAAATAGATACATCCATATCATAATTATTATATCCATGTTTATAGATTTATTAAACATCAAAAGTTAAAATATTGAATAATATTCCAAATTGATAATGGAATGAAATATCATATATAAGTAATAATTATAAATTTAACATATATAATCTATTTTCAAATAAGTCATTTTTTAAAATTTATTTATTATAACAAAATATAACAATCTTTTCATTCTTCAAATAAAAATTTTTGTAATTTTATTAGATTATTAAATTGATTCATTCAAAAATGATATTTTCAATTTAATCAACATTCAATCACAAAGATTTGAAAAATAATGGGGATAATTTTTCTTAATCATTTACAAATCTATTTGATTCATTCAAATTACTTTTGTTAATCAAAATAATCTTGTAAATTATTTTTATTCATCACATACATATTATTAAAAAATAGATTTTTAGAAAAATACCCTACTTAAAATTATTTAAAGTGCTTAAAACAAGAAAAAGAATTCATCGTTATTGTTAAAGAATTTCATCCATAAACTGAATTTAATAAAGGCAATTCATCATTGCAATTTTTATCACACTTTAAAGTGTTGACAATTGTAAATGAAGAGGATTAAAATCAAAAAGCTTTGAAATTTTAGTATATTAATATATTACAAGAATTAAATTTTACAATATTACAAGAGGTTGCAAAATCTGTTTGACATTTACATAATCATTTGGGCATTTTTATAAATTTTAAAGGAATGAATTCATGGTTTTTTAGTGGCGAATACATCAGATTAATTATATATTTAACTTGAATTTAATCTATATCACTATTTAATCAAATTTCTTGTGTATTATTATTAAACTTAATTTCATTGATTTCCTTATCAGACTTAAATAAATAATGCCCCTTAGTTTAGTTTAGTTTAAGGTTGCAAATAGTACTAAGATGTAATTTTTTTACTATTTATATTAAAACTTTGATATAAACGTTTGTATCATTATGTAAGTTTAAGATAGAAATAATATTAATTAAAAAATCTCAATTATTTCTAACAATCGTGAGCTCTCTGGATTATTGAAAAGATTAAAATTTGAAACCATAAAAAGTTGTAGGATTTTTGAGTATCATTTGATAGAAATAAAAACAAAATTATAAATTCACTCAAATTCCCCTCTCTATTTTTTTGGAAGTTCATATTTAAATTATATAAAATTTTATAGAATATAAGAGAATTGTATTAGTTGCTTTATATATTCTAAATAATTGTCTTGAAGATAAATTCAATATGATTTATCGATAGTTTAAATTTTTTTGCTAAGGGATTTTTTAAACTGATAATATTTCTGATTTACAAGAGGGAATAATTATAGTTATCTAGACTATTTTGGTAAACTTGATACGTTCTTATGTAATAATTTACAAATTTGTAAAAATTTGAATAAAAATGAAAAAAAATGACATTAAATTAATTTTGATTGATAAAATATAGGTGTAAATGTTATCGAATATCAAAAATTTTGATGAAAAATTTTAACTCAATATTGAAATCCTATAGATTGTAACTTAATTATATTGTGATATATTCTTTTAAATATTAATCTCATAAAAAATAGATCACATCATCAAATTATTTCATCATTCTTTATTATCATTGTATATTTAAAGTAATTTTATAGCCTTAACTGAAAAAATGATAAAAAACCTTTTTTTATCTTAGTTGTAATATGTGATATATATTTTATTATGATAGCTTAATTGTTAACCAAATACAAAATTATTAAATTTCCAATTTGCAATATGATTTAATTTACCTTAAATTAGATTTAAATCTTTCTAATTTAGATTGAACAGAAGATTTATACATACCTTTTTACTATCATTCACATAATGCTGCTCTCCATCTATTCTCTCGATTTTTTGGAATATGATTTAATTGAACCAATAAAAAATTTCTGAATATTAATACAATATATTCTAGTTTAAGGTCCTTTTTGTTAAATAATTGCTTATTTATCAACTAAAGTATATTCTTTATTTTCAAAATGTAAGATCTTATTTAATATTTAAATCTATGTTCCTCATAATATATATTACTTTCTGATCTTCTTTATTAATTCTTTATTATCCTTTTATCTGTATGTTTATGAAAAATATAGTAATATAATAATATCAATTTAATTTGAAAAATTTGTATAGTCTTGAATCACTTTTGAACAATTAATTATGCTATTTTCAAATAGTGTGTGGTCGAAATCCCAAGATTAATCCAGCATGGAATTTCAAACCCAATCTACATTAAGTCAATTTTTAATAAATAAAAATTTATAGTTAAAACCCTCTTTGATATAAAATTGATTACATATTTATGACAATTTAATTTTTATTTAAATATAATAAATCAAGTTTTGGTGAAAATCTTCAAAATACATTGGTTATCTTAATTTAATTTGATCTTTATAAATATATACTTTTTTTATTTAATCAATAATGATGAAAAATTCTTTGTTTAAGGTAAAAATCAAGAGTATATCAAAAATTCTATCCATAAAGAAAGTTGTGTAAAGGAACGGAATCAATAATAAAAAATTAAACCTTACAGAAAAATTGCATTTTTGGATATTAAAACAGCATATTAATTATATCATATTCAAATGAATTATGAGAGCCGTTAAAAGGTCGCAATTTTGTTTTCTTTCATTAATTTATTAAAATCATCTAATACTCTCTAAAAGAAATTCTTAATCATACATTCTAAATGTTTAAATCTAGTTTAAAAAAATAGCAGAACAATAGTTATAAAATAATTGTTTATTTTTTGTAATTTTGGAGCATTAATTTATTTACAATTAATTAAGTTAAGTTTGAAAGCGGGCAAATGGGATTATTTTAAAAGTTTTATAAATATAAATTGGAACACAAAATTTCATAAATTATTATTGTAAATAATTTTTAAACCAACAAATAATAAATTTGACTTGTGCTAAAGATTAAAATCACTGAAAGATGAATGAGATGATTAGAGAGAAGATTAATTATTTGTTTATATTTTATACCTTGAATAAACTAACAGTATAAGTTAATCGAAGGCTTATTTTGCAAGAATAGTAGATCATGATTCCAAGATTCTTCGTAAAGAATATCCAATTTCAGCTTTCTATTTAATTTTTAATCGCCCTTATTTTAGTTTTATATTGACTACTTTATAGATATTTTAAATTATATTACAATTTATTTTCTTCTAAGCTCAAAGCTATGCCTATATTAGATTTAAATAGAATTTATAAAATATAGAAAGAAAGCTATTTGATAATGAATATCTATCCTTATATTTCAATTTAGGTATCAAATTTCTTAGTGAGAACTCATTTAATTAATAATAATTTAAAAATACTATCCAATGGTACTTTTAGAGCTTAAAATGTTTAATTGCTGAAAGTTTGGTTAGCTAATTATACGATTATATTAGCCTAAAAGATGATCAGATATTATATAAATAAAATTTTTAATCTATTCTATTCTGATCAAACTTTATCAATTTCATATTTTACATAACCTAAAATCTTCTAAATTAAATGACAAGGGAATTTTATTAATCTAAAACAAGTAGATGTATAAGTAACTTCATATTTTTATTTGTTACTTCAGAATCAGAAATTGAAATACAGAGAATAATTAATTCTATTAAATGATAAGATTTTATAGAATAATTAATTTTATTAACTTTGATTTATTAATGTTCTAAAATATTGACACAAAATGAGCTAAATCAATTATTAATTTTTGTATTGATAATATAAAACTTCTCTAAAATCTTATTTTAACATGAAAGATCTTTTATGCAGAAATGACTAAACTATAAATTAGGATGATTAAGAAAATAAAAGAAGATTATTTAAGAGTTTGAATAACAGTACGATTTTTAATAAATTGTAACATCTTCTTTCTTCATTCTTTTTATTCTTTTTTTATAATTACCTTAAATTATTGTCATTTCAATTTTTTTCTTAAAATTTTTCATCTTCTTCTACATATGTCAATATGATTTGAATTATAAATAAAATAAGCGCTTCTGAAAGGGGATGAAAATGATGCCACTCCTAATAAATGAAATAATTATTAATAAAAATTTTTAATGATCACTATCCATACTCTAAATTTCATTTATTAGAATTTAAATTTCTATATAAATTGCTCAAAAGTAGAAAATGATTAAATAATTTGAAGAATATTACAAAAGCATTTTTTTGTTAATTTAATGCCCAAAAAAGCAGCAAATCATAATTTTACATCTTATCTCTCTATATCTTAATTCATCTCTGTTTAAAGGGGTTGGGTTTGGGGCTGT